TATTCTCTGTCTACATGATATATGCATTGTTTAATTTTAATTTGTAACCATTATCACATTTGGTGGGCATAACAATTTTCTTGCAAATATTCTCTATAAATTTCGGTAATCTAATCCAACTTGCTTTTGGATTGTTGGGGCTGTGACCTTTTTATTTATTTTTTATTTTCTTTTTAATTTAGTTGTGTCGCATTGACACTTCCATTGAAGACAATTATTAATTCTCAATTAGTGTTAAATTTTTCACATTCTGTGATTAAGATAAATGACTATATTATTTGCCAAAACAAGATGTTAATTTTTTTCGTGGTTTATATGAACCTCTATATATATGCAGTCATAATTAAGAAAACATTTTCATTATATTTCAGTTTCATTCCTTGCCTTACACTAAATTATATTTGTGTTTTTTAACCTTAATTATATAGAAATTGCATGTTCAACTTTTTTATATTTTAATTTCATTTTTCCCTTACTCCTCACCCATTATTCCCACCACTCTCTTATCATCTTAACTTCTAATCATCTTATTCTTATTTTTAAAATTTAAAAATTGATTTGGATAGTGAATATTTGATAGTTGTACAATTATAAGAAGGAAGGGTTAAGTTACCAAAAAATTCACTTTTCATGACCCTACAATTTGGAGTTGGAGCCATTTAATTACTTTTCAAAAAATTAGATTGTATTTTATTATTTTACATGTTAATAATAATTAATTATTTATGATCTATACTAAAAAATTATTGTATAGGATATTTACTAGTTAGAATTAGAAAAGTGAAACTTAAATCACTAAAAATAAACTTTAGCCTCACAAATTTAGGGAGAATTGGTGAAAAAAATCTAGTTGAAAGGGAAATTATGCCTTAGGACCAAGCCAAATTTACGAACAAAAATGGATATTTTATTCATGAAATAATCTATGCCTTTAACCAAGATGCCCTTATTTTGAAAAGGCAAGTAGAGAATGGAAGAGGTTGTCCATCTAGAATCATCTTCAAGTTCATTGGTCCCAGACCTTTTGCCGCTATTGTGTCCGTTGCCCACGTTAGTTCGTTGTCTACCACCCCTTTTGACACCTTTAGGTACTTCATTAAGAACATAGAGGAACCTTCTGGTTTACTGGTCCCAGACCCTTCATTGCCATCGCATTGGTCATCCATGTTGGCTCATTTTCTACCACCCCTTAGAAAATTCTAGGTACTTCATTGAGAACACAGAGGCATCATCGAGAAGCTATTCGCCTGAAGGATCGTGCAAGGATTGGTGTGTGATCCAACTAGAGGATCCACATACTAACTAGGGACTTATTCACCCCTTGCTTTGTCTACCCTAGCCAGCTCGCGAACTTAGACTAAAGATTGAGGGGATGGTCAAGGTAATCATGCATTTATTGGTTTAGGGTTTAGCATATATATATATATATATATATCTCTCTAAGCCTTTCATTTCTTGGTATTGACTCACATAGATCATATTCACCATAGTTGTATGGCTATCATATGGTGTTCTTTGACTCTTAGGTCTCAAATTAAGAGGAGCCCTTTTTTTGCATTTATATCTAGTTTGCCTATTGTGCATATGGTTATTTTAGACTAAGTTAAATGGTGATTTTCTTCGGAAGCTTATGTAAAGCTATGCAATGAGATGGGCATGAAAGTTATAGATCTTTTTAGTGCTCTGCAGGATACAAATGATTGGATGAATACTACATAAGTTTCCTTGATTTGTTGTCTTCACTCTTCCTTTTTCTCATATAATCCATGAAGTTCAAAAAATGAGTCATTTTGCAATCAAATTGTTGAATGTCTGAATCTTTTCAGGTACCTTGTGCTTGCTATACTTTCTTTTCTGGCTAGTTTAAAGTTGACATCTTTGATCTTAAATGCATAAAGATTCATTGAACAGTCTTTATGAAATCACTCCTAAATGCCATTTTCATTCTCTCTCTAGGTGTTGTTAAAATTCAAGTGAACTCTACCAGATCTTAGTATCTTTATTTGATATGTTGTCATTCATCAAAATTTATAGTTTTAATGGAAATTACTAATCATCTTTTATTCCCAGCCATTAGAATTTAAATGCTCTCCAATTTTTGATATCCAAGTCATTTGGATTAGTTACAAGCGTTTGTTGGTTAAGCCAAGCATTTCTTTAAGGGTTGTGATAGAAGTTTTACAAGTAAGTCAAGCCTGGTGCTAAATGAAAAGACAAGAAAAATCAACTTTATTTAAGGCTTTTTACACCCCTTCGAATTAGAAAGGACAAAACTTCAGTGTATTACTAAATTGTCTATTGTTGGCTTTATGAGTCACTAGATTTCACTTTCCTCTTAAGCCATTCTGAGGACTGTTTTAAAATTACTTGTATCACTAAAGAAATTATATCTTATATTGCACTACATGGAATATAGCTTCTCTGGAGATACTTTCATAAACAAGTTTTCAATCTTGAAAAAAAAAAGAACCTACTTTAGAAGAGAATGAGGTTTTCAATCTTGCCTATTTGGCACAACTCATTATATGGACATTCTTGTATGGGATTTCATAATCATATTGTGAAATAAGCCAAATTTTCTTACCACATTTCTTCTTATAAATAATACTAAGTGGGTCAAACATTTTTCACTTTAAAAGAAAATTGTAAACCTAAACCAGAGGATCACATCTCAAACTTTTGTTTATTCATTTGAATAATGTACAGGGATGGAGCATATGTAAAGGGATATTTAGCATGGTCATTATTGGACAACTTTGAGTGGTTAGAAGACTATACTAAAAGTTTTGGATTGATGTATGTGGATTACAAAAATGGACTCACAAGGCACCCTAAATCTTATGCTTATTGGTTTTCAAAGTTCCTTAGAGCTAATGAAAGCAAATAGAGCAAAGAAGAGTAGCAGTTCACCAATAATATTGTTCTCAATCTGCATTGAGCAATGCTGTTCTATATAGGTTATTGTGGGATTTCTAGAGTAATTTCTTAGCTTATTTAATGGGAAAATAAAGTATATAGGCTATTATGAAAGAGATAATATATTGCATTTGATTATGATATTACTAATGTTTTGCTGTGATCCACACAACATAGCCATTAAGACAATGTCGTAATACGCAGTAAAAAAGGAGCATGCTTCTTTAATAAGTTTCATTTCATTTCATCCTATCAGATTTGTTGGCCAACTTTGTTAGATTTATGAAATTAATTTCAATTGAAAAGGAGTAAAACTTGTTGATAATTTAATGATAGTGATACATGAAAACAATTTATCATATGTTCATATGAAAACATTTTGTCAATTATTGATGGTTGTTTTCCCATTTTCACATTTCATGCTGCATATTGGCATAGCCTACATGTGCAAGGGCATAAGCTTAGAGTATAAGGGAGTGGGCTTAAAGTGCAAGAGTTAGTCTAAAATAAGATGCCAATACTTTATTTCATAGAGTGCATGCTCATGAGAACATTCAGTACGCCACTATCAATCCCTTAAATTTCATGAAAATGACCATTGATTCCAAGTAAAAAAATTCTATGAAGAGCTTTGCGAACATGCCTGAGCAAAAATTACATATAATATCTAACGGATTCCATGTAAAACTAACACTCAAAGGCTATGCAACTGATATTGTCCCTAAATTCCGTGAAAATGACCACTAATTCCATGTAAATCAATATATGAAAATATTCAAGAACATGCCTAAGCCAAAATTATATGTAATATCTAACAGATTCTATGTGAAACAATCACACAAAGGCCTAAACTAATAGAATTATTATTGTTTCTTTTATATTTTTATTGTTCATGGTCCCCCTAAAATTTTCCATTGAAAATTTAGTTGTCATTCAGGTAAAGTTGTTGAATCTTCACCTGTCAGTGTCACAATTAAATGTAATATCTTATGGATTACATATAAATTCAATACACAAAGAGCATATTATTGTCAGTGCTACTATAATTACATGAAAACGACAATTAATTACATGTAAATCAATATGAAATAAAAAATTAACAAACATGCCTAAGGAATAATTTATATATAATATTCAGCGGATTACATGTAAATTAAATACATACAGAGCATGTCCTTGTTAGTGCCTCGAAATTACATAAAAATGACTACGAATTACATGTAAATCAATGTATGAAAAAACTCGCGAGCATAACTAAGGAATGATTTACATATAATATCTAGCGAATTACGTGTAAATCAAACACACATAAAGTATGTCCCTATCGTTAGCCCAAAATTACATAAAAACGATTATAGATTACATGTACATTAATATGTGAAGAAACTCGCTGGCATGATTGAAGAATGATTTACATGTTATGTAAATGAAACACAGAGAGCATGCCCTGTCAATGCCGCAGAATTACATGAAACTAAATATAGATCACATGTAAATTTGATTGCTATAATATAAGCCATAATCCTTGTACCCTAAACCAAAAGTATTACACCATAAGCCATAACATATCCACTCTAAGTATCTCTCTTGCACCTAAGTTAGAAGTTTTACATCTCAAGCTGGATGCCCTTACACCTCAAGTCAAAAGCCTTGTTCTCAAGCTAGACCCTTTGCACCTAAGTCAAATCCTTTGTACCCAAGCCAAAATTCTTACACCCTAGGCCAAAATCCTTACACTTTTTAATTGTTAAATTTACATGTAATTCTTGATGATTACATATAATTAAGGGGTGTTGATTTTTTTCAATAACCCTTCACCTACCGGCAAGAAATTTGGTAGGCATGTTAGAGGAGGGGCTAGAGCTCCAATAGCCAAATTTTATGCCTTTTTTTTTTAAAAAATAATTAATATAGAGAAACAATCATTCCTTTAAATTATTTAATAAATAAAATATTAATTTTGGTCGTTTAAATATATTTGATCCTTGAGGCTAATTTTAGTATTAATAAGATCCTTTCAGCCACTTTTTTTAAGAATTTAATAGAGAAATTAATTTAGAGCGCCCATTGTTTGGGACTTGGGTGGAGTCTCGTAGTCGTAGATTGAACAATCCAATCAAAGCAACCCTAATCTTCATACTTCTATAAGTCTGAGAACGCAATTTCATTTCTCATACCTGTCCACCCCTGCGTTACTCTTAATCGAAACGATGTCTTCAGAATCCCAGGAGCCTACTGTACCTCCGCAGTCGGAACAACCAGACCATGATGATGAAGAATCCAAGTCTACAAGCAAAAAAGCAGCTAAAAAGGAAGCGGCAAAGCAAGAGAAGCTACGCCGCCGCCAAGAAGCTGCCCTAGCTGCCGCCACGTCATCTCTATCAGTCGATTCTGAGGAAGACCCGCTCGCCGTCAACTATGGCGACGTCCCTCTTTTGGAGCTCCAGTCTAAGACCGTGGCTAACATCTCCGATTGGACTAAAGTCGAAGTTCTTAACAATTTATTGGAGGGCAAGTGGGTTCTGATTCGGGGCAGAGCGCAGACGATCCGTGCCGTGGGGAAGAAAATGGCGTTCTTGGTTATCAGGGAGAACGGGTTCACTGTGCAATGTGTGGTGCAGGTGCAGCCCAATCAAGTAAGCCCTCAGATGGTGAAGTATGCGGCCGCATTGAGCCGTGAATCTATTGTCGATATCGAAGGGGTCGTCTCCGTGCCCGCTACTCCAATCAAAGGCGCTTCACAGCAGGTTAAAGGCATACTTCGTTGGACGATAAATTTATGTTGACTAGAGTACTTATTTAATGACTGGAGATGGATATATCCAATAATAATGCCTTCTATGTATTTATTGTTGGTGTCAAACGGTTTCCTTGAAAAATTCATATGATTGAGCCCTTGCTAAGGTTACCTTCTGCAATAATGCGACGCTTCTTCTGTTCTTTCAGGTAGAAATTCAAGTGAGGAAATTATATTGTGTGAACAGGGCTGTCCCAACTTTACCTATTAATATTGAGGATGCTGCTCGAAGTGAAATGGAAATCGAGAAAGCTCTTCAGGTACACCGATTTTATGTATATTGCGTTAACAGGGCTTTCCCTTCGCCCCGGCTCAACTGCGTTAATGTTTTCCCCCTTTTTATGTATACTGATTAGATCATTTGATGAGTGCAGGCCGGTGAGCAACTTGTTCGTGTCAATCAGGATACGCGTCTAAACTATAGGGTTCTTGACATTCGAACGCCAGCCAATCAAGCAATTTTCCGCATTCAATCTCAAGTTGGAAATGTAAAGCATATAATCTTCGAGTGTTATTATGAAGTGTCCCTTTACATATATTTAATTTATTCTCTCCATGATCTAAGTTGTCAGTTTTTTAAAAATGCTTTTCTTTATCGTATGCTTCAGGAGAAACAGACTAGGGTACTTGATTATAACATTTTTCACGGTACTGATATTATGCAAACTGATTTGATTGTCTTGTAAATGAATGCCGGTGCAGGTATTCAGACAATTCTTATTATCTGAAGGCTTTGTTGAAATTCACACCCCAAAACTGATTGCCGGGTCTAGTGAAGGAGGTGCTGCTGTCTTTAGACTGGATTATAAGGGGCAACCTGCGTGCCTTGCCCAGTCACCTCAGCTTCACAAGCAAATGTCAATTTGTGGTGATTTTGGCCGTGTTTTTGAGATTGGTCCTGTCTTTAGAGCGGAAGACTCCTTCACTCATAGACATCTGTGTGAGTTCACAGGTCTTGATGTTGAAATGGAGATTAAGAAGCATTATTTTGAGGTAGGTTTGGCGTTTAGGAAATAGATATAGGATAAGCATTTACATATGAAATTAATAAGTTGTGTAGTCTAATATACCATTTCTTCGGCAGGTTATGGATATAGTTGATAGGCTATTCGTGGCAATGTTTGATAGTTTAAACAAGAACTGTCAGAAGGATCTGGAAGCTTTGAGAAGGCAATACCCATTTGAACCTTTAAAGGTGTGTCAAGTGTCAACATGCATAACAAACTTACAGTAGTATATGATTTAGTAATTTATTGTGCTGTGTACATAAGATATTACTATAACAACAAGTCTTATCCCAATAGGTAGGGTCAGATACATGGGTACATAAGATATTACCGTGTAATACTAATAATCAGATCAGGTAGAGGTTGCTGTTGTCTTTGATCTGATGCTTGTCACTTGAATGTGCAGTATTTGCGACAGACTCTGCGCCTTACGTATGAAGAAGGGGTTCAGATGCTCAAGGTAAGCTTTAAAGCTTCTTTTTGACACTAATGACTGTACAGAAAAATGTAATAAGGTAGATGAAGATTGCTCAACCCTTGAAAAATTTGGCTGAACCCTCCTTTTGCATGGATCGTAAAAGACCCAGATAGCATGTGCTTTTATTTGTTGGAACTTGGAACTGGAGATGATGTTGAAATGGAGTTCATTTACCTGAGCTGATCACTCTGCTTACTAACGTGTATAGGGAGCTGACTTGTACATGTGATGTACCACTTTTGAATATCCATATTCTCAGTTTATTTGTTCTTGCGTTCATTGACCTTCTAAATGTAACAAGTCTAAATCAATCACATGCACTCTTTGCCGCTTTCTGTACATAATCAAGGCTTATATTTAAAGATCATATTTGGTTACAGAGAACATCATAAGCTTGATAGCAATTGTGAGATTCTCCTTACCTTGGTAATTCAGATGTTTATATGTCCCTGATTAATTGGCAGTTTGATATGTGTATCTTATACGTGGAGCAATATTTAATTACCTGGTACTAGCTCAGTCTTGGATATTATGATAGTTAATGCAGTGACACAGAAAAGAGGAAATGGATATACAGTATGCTGCATGTATTGTGATCAGTATCCCAATACACTCTGTCCTTTGAATTTGCAGGATGCTGGCGTAGACATTGACCCTCTTGGCGACTTGAATACTGAATCTGAAAGAAAACTGGGCCAATTAGTTTTAGAGAAGTAATTCTGTTTTTTTCTTTTTTTTCATCTTTGTGTCGTGATCTATTATTTCAAAAATAATTAATGGACTGTACTTCCTTTAATAGGTTTGGCACTGAGTTCTACATCCTTCACCGTTACCCACTGGCTGTGAGGCCATTTTATACAATGCCTTGCCATGACAATCCGGCATACAGTAATTCATTTGATGTCTTTATTCGAGGTAAGCTGAGTCATTTGTTATGGCCATGGTCTGACAATCTGTAACACTTACCCGTTATTTTAGTTTGTAGAGGCTACTTATCTTCTAAGAAGCTGGATTCTGGGTGATGTCTAGTTAACTTGAGCTTCTGGTGTTATAACTTGTCCTTAGGTGAGGAGATAATTTCAGGAGCTCAGCGTGTTCATGTACCAGAATTCTTGGAAAAACGTGCAGCGGCTTGCGGAATTGATGTCAAGACAATTGCTACGTACATTGATTCTTTCAGGTATTCATCATCACCTCTTACTACTCTTCTCAGCTCTGTTACAACCATTCCTTATTTTAGGTATTGGTACTAATTTAGGTAGTATTTTAAACTTTTGTGCCCAGTATGTCTTGCTTTTTTTCATGATGAAAGACTGAATATCTGTATGGTTGATCATTTTCAGATATGGTGCACCCCCACACGGTGGATTTGGAGTGGGCTTGGAGCGTGTGGTGATGCTTTTCTGTGGCCTGAATAATATACGCAAGACATCTCTGTACCCGCGCGACCCTCTCAGGATAGCCCCTTGATAATACATTCAATCAGTGGTCTGGATGTTACCCTCAATTTTCTTTGACGTGAATGTATTTGTGGATTTAGCAGCGTTGATGCTCATTGCCCTGCAAATAAATCATTATTTGTCTGTTAAACTTACTTTGGAAAGCATCGACTTTTTAATTTCTTTTGAGTAATGCTGGTGCATTGCCAACGTGAACGTGAACTTAGCAAATTATTATTCGCTGCGTGCTTGTGCTTTTTGAATGCGCAAAGCCACAAACGATGAAATTTTTGTCTTGTTCTGATGCACGAAAAACGATTCTAATGTTTCATAAAATTAATGCAGTTAAAATAAGGACTGTTATTGATGGAGTGCCGGAGCCTATTCCTTGTGACGGAGAAAATATGCGGCTGTAGACGTTAGATGCTGTGTCATTTATTTCACGCAACTGTTATTGTAGTTGTGGACCGCGTGGTAAAGTGGAACTGGGAGCGGAGGAGAGGAAGTAGAACTCAAAAAATAGGATGTTTGTTATGTTAGAACTCATTTCTCTAAGAAAGCCACTTACATAAAAAAATGATGGAACTCAGTTCTTTCCTCCTAGCCATGGAACTAGTTCCTCTTTCACATTCTTCCTCGTTTATTGTTGTCCTTCAAGCTTCTTCCATCACTTTGATCAGATGCGGATGTGCTTCAAGCTCACCAACCCTCCACCGGTAATGACGACAATCCTCCACTGGCAACGACAGCAACGATCCTCTGCTAGCAATGACGACCACGGCACTCCGCCCGGCAATGACTTTTAGACCTTCGTCTTTTTCTGGCAAAGCAAATTGGGTTGCATATTTGGGTATTTTGTACTCGAATTTCTTTGCCTTTCTCTCATTCTTAAGCATATCTGCTTGATAACCAATGAGAACTTCTCATTTTCACTCTCATTGACATTGATTTACTCTATATCATCGTTTTGATTGCAGCTTCAATTTGGTTCTTGTTACTTCTTTCTCTTTTAACTTTTTTTTTTTAATTACAGCTCAAGAGGCATATGGAACTTTCATAATCTTTGCAAAAAGACCAGTGCAATATTATGCAACTATGGAATGCTGTCATCTCCCTCATTTTTTTTCTTGGAAGATGGTTATTTCATTCCTCCGTGGCAGTAGCTTCGTGTTGGTCTTGAATGGGCTATTTTTGTTTTCAAGGGTATAATTAGTATTTTCAAAATATAAATATAATATTAAATAAAATTTTTATTTTAATTTCATTTACATACCAAACATACTTTTACATCTCACTTTCACTTTCATAAAAAACAATTCTCTGTGCTAAGGAACCAGGATTGAGTCTAAGGGGGCCAATTTTTTGTAGGATAAGCATGCAATTTGAACTTTAAATTATAAGTTTAAAGATGATTTGAACTCTAAATTTTTAAAATGTATATATTAAACTCAACAATTAAAATTGAAACAATTTTGCTTCCATCATTAAATTTAAACAAATATCCATCAAAGTAGGGCATAATGTGTGATTTTTACCAAACAAAGGAGAGAGAGGAAGAGTGAAATTTGGTGAAAATCGCACATTAGGCTTCAATTTTTAAAAAACTAATAGATGCTTGTTGAAATTTAATGGTGGGAGCAAAATTACCTCAACTTTAATTCTTTATAGTTCAAAATATACTTTCTGAAAGTTTAAAATTCAAATCACCTTTGGACTTATAGTTTAGAATTCAAATTGTATATTAACCCTTTTTATATATTTTTTAAATATATTTTTTTTAAATATTTGTATAACTTAAAATATCATTTTATGGTAATTGTGTAAAATTTTATTTGGTACTTTTAAAAATGTTTAAAAAAAAAAACAAAGTCACGCCCCTCACACACATTAACTTTAAGAAAGGAATATATATTGAGAAAAGAGAAAATATATAGAATAATTTTAAAAAAACATTCATGTTTTACATGCTTTTTTTTTGGCCTGAATGTCTTACATGCTCAAGTTAATATTAATTAATACTATATACGAATAAAATAATAACAATTATATATATACATATTCATATAAATGCTCAACTTTCATAAGAATTGATAATTTGGTGTGATCTTACCGACTATTTAATTAAAAAATTAATATATGTGATATAAATATTAGGCATCACTTTTACTTTTGGAACTGAAGATTTAATAACTGACCAAAATATCATAATAAACTAATAAATCATGTATCATATTTTTATTTGAATACATCAGTGTATGATTTATGTATAAACTAGATCCATTATCTGTGCGATGGACAGGGATGTTTTAATATTTAAAATTTAAAAAATGTTTAGTATACTCATATTCTACTATTTTATATAAATTTAAAATAAATAACAACTTATTCTATTTTAAAATTTATTATATAAATACATATTAAAAATATAAATGATAATTTATTTTAGTTTAGAAAGTGTTGCCTTGTGGAAAATAAAATTTAAAGAAAAGTTTTTATTTTATAATGGGTTACTCTTATACATGTCAAAAAAAAAAGCAATTTATCATAAAAAAATTAAAATTAATCTAGAAGTCCTTACAATTTCTCTCAATTTTAAATTAGGTCTTTGTAATATTTTTTGTTTGAATGGACCTCTTATAGTTTAGTACATCTTTACCTATCAAGGTTAAAATTATTAATGAAATAAATCATTTTTTATATCTATAGAAAATTTGATTAATACAATGTTTATATTTTTTATTTATTTTTTTATAAAAACTATATATGTGCAAAAATTATCTAGAAGACATAACCTAATTATATAAATTTTGAATTATACAAATTATGTAATCAACTTTAAAATTATATAATTATCGAATAAAAATATAAAAGTCCTTGATTTTATTTTTTTTAAAAGGAACTGTTCAAGGAATTAAGAAATATAAAAATCAAATTGGAAGAGCTCCATTGAAACAAAAGGAATTTTAAGAATTCAATTTAAAATCAAACAAAATTAAAAGAACCTACAAATTAATGTTTTTCAAAAATATATAAATAAATTATATTTAGGTTAGCCTAGATAGACTCAAATATAAAACGTGTGTTATTTAGTTAAGCCTAACCCTAAAAATTTCCAGGCTTATTTGGGTTAGCTCAAATTGCTTACTCTAAAAAAAATAACAAATTATTTTATAGAATTTGTTATTTGGAGTAAATTAAATTTTCAAAAAAAAAACTCATGAGATAAGAAATGTAATTTTTTATATATTGTCTAAATTAAGTTTATAATTTTATTGCAGGAAAATACCTATAATTTTTTTTACTATGAATTTTATATCCACTATCATTTTTAACAGGCCTCATACTTTTTTTATTGCACAGAAAATGTTTGAAAGACTTGCATAAAACATGAGCAATAATACAATCCTAGTTGTGCCTAAAGATACTATCATTAAGAGTTATTCCACAATAAGTCTAAAAGGCGGCAATTCCCTAGGATTAAATAAATTCTTCCTATAAAAGACAAAGATACAGAACAACAAAAATTTATAGGATAAACTTAAGCAACATCACAAATAAAATAGTGTGATAGCAGAGGAAAGAAATCTCGAAAGATCAAAGGCTTGTCCTTAATCCATGGCAAGTAGGGCCTTTTATAGGCAGATGCCTCAAAACACTAGATAATAAAATTATTTTAATCACAATTAAGAGTTCGTTACGAAAAATAAAGAGGTTAAATAAACATATTTAAGTAGGGGGTTGTGATAATTAATATTAATTTATAATGAATCCTTTTGAAATACCCAAGATATTTTATAATATCCAACAATTGCCTACATATTTCAAAAGGAAGGAAAATTTTCTTTAAAACTATTTTATACAAAATAATTTTATAACTCCACATAATAGTTTCCAAAAATTTAGAAAAAAAAATGCCTAATCTACCCGGTACCACATTTAACTCACATGATAGTAATTGTGTTTGCATGAGCCCACTTCTCCTCTAAACTCATTTACCTGCTCAAGTTCACACTTTAACACACACACACACACACACGTATGCGCGCGCGCGCAACCACATTTAACTCACGTGATAGTAATTACGTTTGCATGAGCCCACTTCTCCTCTAAACTCATTTACTTGCTCAAGTTCACACTTTAACACACACACAAGCACGCACACTAAGACCTCCATTCATTTGAGCAACATGAGACTTTCCTTTTCGACACAATTACAACAATCTCTCACATATGTCAAAGGAACCATTATATATCATCTAAGTTATTCACATGAAAGATATTCACTTCAAATCTGATTTATTTCTACTTGAACCAAATCTAGACTAATAAAACTTAGCACACATAAAAGTTGGTGTAACTTCATTATTGAACCAATAGGTCTTAGGTGTGTACTAGATGTAACATCCCAAGAAGTAAGGCCTAGGTAATAACCATAATTTTGAGGGTTAAGGGGCTAATTTAGGGTCTCAGTATCCCTTAAAATAAGCTAATGACCTTAGATTTGGTACTAGATAAAAGGTGAAGAGCTTGGAGTAGAGAAGCTTCATTGTGTTACTTACCTAGACAAGTGGGCGTACTCGCTAAGGTAAGCAGTGTTGTGCTCGTTAAGGCAAGCAGTGCATTTCAAGAAAATTATAAATACATAGTTTATCCAAAGTAGATGTTAGAAACTCATTTTAAACTTTCAAGAGGTATAATTTTCTACAAAGCTCTGCTAAGGTTTGTGGTTTGTAACCTAAAAAGCCTCAAAAGAGCTAGATTCCTTTAAGGTAAATCCCCTAAACCTGATCTACACTCTTGTACCTCTCTATTCTCTATATCTGATGCCTAAGATTTTGCCCTAGGCTTATATCTCATATTACAATTCCTAGGAATTGTTTATCTGAGCCTCAAATAGAGTATTAACAAGTTTGATTATCCATATAAGCCATGATTATGTCACTGATGCTAAGGAGTGTCAATCTTTAACGTCGTATCCCACTTGAATACTAAAGAGATAATCTCCAATACCATGTCTCACTAGGCATTAAGGAGATACATATCATATGGACTTCCACTATTCCTTCCTACAGGTGAACTTCCATCCCCTAATATGATTATACTCACATATCCCATATATAACACAAACATATCAAATTCCTCAACCAATTTATGTAAAACTTTCACCATTCTCATCGTGTACAAATAGTTTAA